TTAAGAATTAAACCACTACAAAGTCCAAGCACTACTTACCACTTTCTCCACAATGAATACTATGTCATTTCCATTTAGAATATTTTTCAAAGGGGTTGGTTGCCCTTTGCCAATCAATTGCACTTGGACATCAGCCTATTAAAAAAGATAATGTCAAGCAATATTTTATTTATTACAGTATCATTGATATACAATCTTATGTTGGTTTCAAATACCCAACACAGTGGTTCAACATTCACCTATATTATGAAGTTCTCACCCCTTCAGTGAGGTCACTGTCCATCAACATAGTAAGACGTTACAGAACCCTTAACTGCATTCTCCATGCTCTACTACTGTCCTGACCAAATTATATTGTGATTGTGAATTATTGTGCCCCTTAATCCTCTTCTTCCCCCTGCACCCTACCCAACCCCTCCCCTTTGGTAACCACCAGTCCCTTCTTGGTGTCTATTAGTCTCCTATTTATTCCTTCTGTTTTTGTCAAGCAATATTTTATACACACACACATATACATATACTTGTACAAATATTTAACCACATAAAGACCAGTCCAATGCAAGTAACTAGAAAAGGGAATTTGAACAAGACCTAATATTTTTAAAGTAAGGTTTAATTTATTTTTTGCTCATGTTTTTCATGTTTAGAAAATCTAACTCATGTCTACATCATGCTTCAGGCCCACCTGAAGTGCACCCTGCCTTCTAAAGCCTTCTTTTGATTAGGATCACACTGACAGCCTCTCCCTCAAATTCCACTCTATTTACTGTTATGTACTATAAAATTAGCACTTTTTTAAACCTTATCCTTTCTTTTGATTGCACGGTGGAAGTTAGGACTTTCTCAGTTTCCAGGAGTTGCATATTTTTTCCTTCTACTTGCAAAACAGGTTTATTATAGAGAAGTTGGAAAACAGATAACTAAGAGATTTTTTTAACTCACCTATAATTCTACTGCCCAAGGTAATCACTATTGTTTGTTAATAGCTTGGTTGGTGTATATTTTGCAACATCTTTTTCTAGGCATATAATAAAATCTATTTAAGAGAAATGTATCTATTATTTAGATATATAGGCAGAGTTTTACTTAACAGAAAGAGAATATTCTAATAATTATATATCATGAACTTCTTTTCATACCATTAAATGGTCTGTCTAGCACCATGGCTCCATCATCATATAACTAGTGCCATACTGTTCAATATTTGGGTAATTTCAAGTTATTTGCTATAATAAACCATTGATAACAGACATCCTTGAATTACTTTCTTTAAAATATCTAAAATTACACTGATATTGGCAAACTGCCTTTCGAACATGTCATACCCACATATTTTCATTATTATATCAACATATGAGTATTTTCATTATTTACCATCTTACAACAAAATATTGTATCTTGTTATTGTTTCAGTTTTCATTTGATCATTAGTGAAGCTAAATAGATTCTAATATGCTTATTATTGACAAAGATCTCTCATTATTTGAATGTTTAATTCCTTAGTTTGGATACTGAAGCATGTATTTCAAAAAAATGCACAAATCTCAGTATACAGCTGGATGTACTTTGACATGTATATATGCTCATATAACCATCACTTAGATTAAGATATCAAACATTCAAGTTTTTCTTCTCCTTCACCTATTTCGCCTTCACCAATAGACACTAAAGCATTTAGATACCAAGTTCAAAGAGCAAAGGATACCATGTTATTCTAATCTACTAGGTTCTTGAGTTTCATGTACTACTGTGGGTTTAATTTATTTCCCAAAAGATATGTTGAGTTCCTAACCCCTGGTTCCTCTGAATTTGACCTTTTATTTGGAAAATAGGATCTCTGCAAATGTAATCAAGTTAAGATAAGGATTAGCTTGGATTAAGGTGGCCCTAAATCCAATATCTAGTATACTTATAAGAGGGAGAGATTTAGAGACAGTACACTGGGAGAATGCCATGTGTCAACTGAGGCAGAGATTAGAATGGTGTCTACAAGCCAAAAAACATAAGGATTGTTGGAAACTACCAAAAACTGGGAGGAAGCAATGAAGAATCCTTTCCTAGAGCCTTCAGTGGGAGCATGGACCCGCTGACACCTTGATTTCAGACTCCTAATCTCCAGAACTACAAGAAAATTAATTTCTGATGTTTTTAGCAAACCAATTTGTCATACTTGGTTACAGTAGCCAAAGGAAACTAATACCAGTATCAAGCAGCAAGAATTCAGATAGGTAGGGATTAATATTATTTACTTGGATAATTGATTCCTGAGTTTGGTTCATGAGAATTCAGATAGTGAGAAAGAACTATATTTGCATTTTTCTTTCTGTGAATATTTACTTGTGTCCATTGCTTATTCTTCTCTTATTGGTTGTTTTTCTTATTGATTTTTAAGAGCTTTTATATATTTTTTATATATATGGACATTAACCCTAACCACTTGGAACTATTTCCCTCCAGCTTATCTTTTACTATATAATTTGTTTGCTAATTATTTTATGGACTAAACTCTACAGAGTTTACCTATAGAACACTTGGCATATACTAGATGCTTAATAAATCCATGAATGATTATAGCAGCTTTATTTATAACTATCAAAATCTGAAACCAATGCAAGTATCCATCAACTGGTAAATGAATAACCAACTGTAGTACAGCCATACAATGGGATAATATTTTTCAAGAAAAAGGAATGAAGTACAGATACACACACAACAATGTAGGTGAATCTCAAACGCATTTTACACAATGATAGAAACCAGACCCAAAAGGCTAGTATGGTTTTATTTATTCTGAAAATTAACTCTGTTTATTTATTCTGGAAAAGGTAAAACAGAGAACAAATTAGTAGTTGCCAGTGACTGGGAGCAAGGGCAAGGGGTTAACAAAACAGGACATAAGGAGATTTTTGGAGATGACAGAAATATTCTACATCTTGAATTTGGGGGTGGTGATATTACTGAATGCATTAGTAAAAACTTACAGAACTGTACTCTAAAAGGGTGAAATGGACGTAAATTAACTTCAACAAACCCAACTTTTAAAACCTCGTAATTTTAGAATTACTAAATTGTGTTTAAAAAACAAGTTTTTCATACCTCAAAGATAAATGGGTCTTTACAGATTCCTTTTTCTTCATTGAATTCCCTGAAATGCAGAACCACATGTGAAAAACAGAGCTAGAATACTGTCATGTAAACTCAGGAGTTAGTCATCATTTTAATCTCTGCACGACACCAGTAAGAAAACCAAATGCAAAGTTTTCATGGCAGTCCTAAGGCAGAGTTGGGAAGAGAGAAAAAAGCAGAAAAAGAATATTAGGTTAAAAAGGAAAGAGAAAAAAATGTGGTAGAGATTAATAGAATGCTGCCACAACTGGGTACAACTGCTTCTCAGAGGCAGCAGGAAATCAGGTTATCTACCTCCAGTATCATTTAAAACACATGACCAGTTACTATTAAAATGTGATTTACCACATGACTTTGGGAATTGACAATGACTGGACTCTGATCTGCTACTGCACCAGTGTGTAACCACACAGAAGTTATTTAAGGGTCCCATGCCTTGGATTTCCATGGCTAAGATGGAAGCATCTGTCCCCCTTCTATGTTTATGAGCTGTTACTAAAAAATCAGTGAAGTTGATAATGGTAAACAATTTTCTTTTAAAAATGTAAGCACAAAACCCCTGCATATCATTTAATAGTTTTCATTTCATTCAAGAAATTGTTAAAATAGTGATCCCAAAGCATGTAAACTATTAAGCCCTTAATATACCAAAATGAATCTTCAGAGTCCTAAAGGAACTCAATGGACTTGTTTCAGGATATCATTTACTATTTGATCTACTCTGACTTACCGAAATAAAAACAGGAGAGCACAGCCTGTGACCGATTCACTTTTGCCATTTTGACAAGATTGTGACTTATTAAAAATGTCGGTTTTCTATGTGTAATTCAGGGATGTTATTCAGTCAATCATTCAACAATCATTTTTCAAACATGTGTACTATATGGGGAAGCACGCTTACTAGATGTCCTAGATAAAAAAACAAAAGCAGAGTCCCTGGTTCTTTTTTTTTTTAGTGGAGTCCAGAGTAAACCAATAGTTGCAATACACGGTGATGGAGTCTCCAACAGAGGCCAGTGAGGGTGCTGTGGGGGCACAACGGTGGAGATTTTGTTATTGGGTTTGAACTTTATCCCTAAAGCCAAGAGGAATTCACTAAAAGATTTTAAGTGGGAAAGATCTCTCTGACAGTAATACGGAGGGTATAAACTCGGAGGCCAGGAAAGTAATAATGTATAGCATTTCAGAGATGATGGCCTTACCAAAACAGTAGGGGTGGTGAGATAGCAAATGCACCTGGTGACTAACTGTAACAGGAAAAGCTTGGCATCTCTGCCTCCACGTTGTGTTTCCTTTGCTGCTTTAATTTTTGGGCCCCCCCCCAAAAAATGGAAAAGGGCTTCTGCTCTGCCTTGCAGCACTGCATATAGACTTGTTAATCATCAGAAGTAATTTTGCTTATAGTTTGAGAATTCTGCAAATAGCCCCTAACCCGAAGCTTGCCTCCCACTAGGAGATAAGAAAAATATAAAAATAATGATTGCCCTGTCAAAGATTTATAGGAACATCATGACCAGACCTAGGTCAACTAACCAAGGACACAGAGTGTCTCAGCTCTCCTTGGACTCTCACTGGCATCATGATGTCCGCAGCCTTCGGTGACCTCCTAACCTGCTCCCGTCTCCTCTAGCATAAAAGAATCTTGAAATTAACCCTGAGTTAAGATGGCTCTTTAGGACAGTAGTCTGTCATTTTCTCAGTTTACTGGCTTCCTGAACAAAGTTACTTTCCTTGCCTCAACATCTTGTCTCTTGACTTATTGGCCTGTCTTGCAGCAAATGGCACCAGCTTGGACTTGGTAGCATGACTAGATAGGATGGGAGTAGGGAACAGTGGAAAAGAGAAGAAAGTGAAAGCCCTGGATTTGGAACTCTTGAGAGAAACGTAATTCAAGACTAGGATGTTAGGTTGCAGGAAAAAGATGAATTCAGTTTTGCAGATACTGAGTTTGAAGTCTCATGTGGAAATTTCCAGTAGGCAGCTGGTTACACAAGCAACGTGAAGAATTCAAAAGAAGTAAAAGAGGCTTTGGGTGCCTACAAGTGGAAAGAAAGACTAACATCCATGAAATAATTGGAAAATATTAAGGGACTAAGTAAAGCTGTTATTAATGGAGGAACTGATTAAATAAACATAAGACTGCCATGGAAGGGAATATTACACAGCAGTTAAAAGCTGGGGTAGATCTATAGGCTCTCATACTGAAAGCTATCCAAGACATTGTTGGTTTAAAAAACTAGTGGTCTTCCCATAATGCCCAAAAAATTGGCTAGAATTACCACCTCTGTAAGCAGAAAATAAGCAAAAAACAATAAACAAATATGACTTTTAGAAAAAATAAGGGGTTAGATTTTATCAGTGGTTCTCAAAGTGAGGTGTCAGGCCAACGACATCGGTTCACCTGGAGTTTATTAGCATGGCCAATTCCTTGGCCCCACTCAGACTTACTAAATCAGAAACCCTGGTGGTGGGGCCCAGCAATCTGTGTTTTGACAGCCCTCCTGGTGATTCTAATGGACGCTCAGATTTGAGAACTAATGGATTAGATCTTTACGTCGGATACAGAACTAGATAGGATCCCCTTTCGTACTAATACTTCACTGACTGTAAGAATTAAAGAATAAAAGACCACTAAAATAATGATAGAGCACAGTGAAATAAAGGTATTTTGAAAGGCCAAAGACACCACGTTTTCATTCAGCTGTAGCTCATATAACTATCTTGAATAGACTATAATACCAGCAAGGTTTCACACGAGCAAGGCTTTAAACAAGTGAAGGACGCCAACATCTAGTTTTCCATATTCTGGGAGGTGCCGCTAACATCACAAGCTCATTAGAATAAATAGTTTTCCTCTTGGAAAATTTGTCACACTCCTTCTCGACTGATACGTACTGATGTTTTCTCCCAAACGAGACTACAGGGAAGTCCCCCCAGGACCAACCCCACAGAAGAGCAGGTAACGGGCCTCTCACCAACTCCCGGACCGCAGGAAAGCTGACTTAGTCTGTAACATATGCACTGCAGGGAACGCGCAGGGCGCTATTCCCAAGGCTGCGGCAAGGGGCTGGGGGCGAGGATCGAGATACCCCGAGAGAGAAGTGCTGCCTTCGCGCCCTAAGCAACGGCAGGGGCTACAACTCACTGCAAAAGACGAGCGTAAAACTCCTCGGCCGCTCGGTTCATTCGGGACCACATCCCGCCCCAGTCCAGCTGCAGATCCAAACCGCCAAACTGAACTGCGCGCCGGTGGCTGACGTCCGGTGTCATGACCCCCCGACGGAACTACTTTTACCTCCAAAAGGTCCCGTTTGTCCACAAAGTTACACTTTTGTTTTAGAGCATACATAGGTTTTTCCTATCCCAAGAGTTTTCCATTCCCGTAAGAAAAAGTTAAAATAGATTGCAGCTACTGAGGGGCACTACACAGTGTCTCGCGAGAGCTAAATACGCCCCCTTATGGATTATTCCGCGAAAAGGAGTCCCTCGTATCTAAGCGCTATTGTTGACTTTGGAAGTCAAAAAATACAGTGGTTTGACCCATATGAAGATATAATACGCTATTTTTTATTTTTGAAGAGTGATATATATATATATTCCGTGTCTGTGTCTTGGTTCTGAGGTTGGGCAGGGTGGGGAACGAGTTGAGGGTTACATACAGAGCGGCAGTGAGAGGCACTTCCTTTTCCTGTAAGAGCCGCCGGGGTGAGAGGAGCGTGGCCCTCTCCTCTCTCCGCCATGGTGAGTGGAAGTGTCCCCGGCTGGACTTTCCCTTGCTCTCGGGGCCGGCGGGAGTGGATTGGGGGTTCAGGGCGTAAAGTCTTCAGGACAGAAAGCGATGAAAAGATGAGGACCAGAGGCGACTGTTTGTGCATGGGAGCTGGGTAGTGCTGCTGTATGGCCGCCATCTTATAGGCAACGTGGGTGTTCCGGCGCTGGATGCGCCCGAAAGCAACATAAGAGGACACCAGTTCGTTTTGGGGCCCAGAGGGACCTTTGGAATTCTAGCTTTCCTTGGATCTTAGAAGGCACGGTTCTGCTGAAGACTTTGGAAACTTTGGGGACCTGAGAACTGCATCGGGGTAAAATAGTCAATTTGGAGCTTTATCTCCCATGTGCTGCTTAGTAAGGAATAGTTACATCTTTTGAGACTGACTTTCTTAAAAAAAAAGAAAAAAAAAAACTTCCATTCTCGTCTTTGTCCAGCTTAAAAACCGCCTCTGTAAAAGCTGCTTGGTCCTTTTAAAAGTTAGTTGGCCTATTTGGTGTTTCCTAAATCTTTGAATTCCTGGCTCGTAGTATAGCTAATGCTACACGTACTGTGTAGTGTTCTGTGCCCTGGGGAGTTAAGTGAACGAAACATTTTTTAAATTAGGATGCTTGGATCGTAATTGAATTGGACAAAACACATAGTAGTGATCGATAGTAGTAACTTCCGTTGACATAGGGAAGGGGAGAGGAAGCAGCAGGGATTTAAACAGTGATCAGAGAAATCTTAGGGTGGCCTGAGGAAGGTTAGGAACAATGCTAATAGTATCTCTGGGGTGAAGACACTTGAGTAGGGAAGAGACTTTAAAAGTATGGGGAATGAAGCCGAGCAGAATGTGTAGGCCATCCTCAGTCAGGACTTCAGTTTTTCTTGAGGTGGTAAGTCTGGAGAAGGTTGAGCAAAAAGTAACATAATCAATGTTTTCATTAGTAAGTTTTGGAAGATGTCTTTAGAATGGGATGAATGGGGCAAGAATGGAAGTTTTGGAGTAGAGCCATGGTAAACAAGATTTGCTGGCATTTAGGTGGTGGCATTAAACAGCGTTTTCGAGCCTTATAGTTTAGCTTTGATTATTTTGCTTCATTTGGCCTGGTTTGAAATGAAAGTTTAATGATAAACTATTCCCTTCGAAAAACGAAAGTCATGACAGAACTTGAGGCTCTAAGTGTTCAACTATAAGAATTTACTGAAGTTAAAAGACATGGTGATGCTTTAGTAACAGCCTTTAAGTGTTGTCTAGTGTACCTCACCAGACTAGTCTCATCTGTAACTGAGCATTAAGTGGTATAGCTGCCACATAGGAAGAATGCCTCTGGCCTTGCTTGTCAGTATAAACATCTCTGCCTTTTTCCAGGCGTGTGCTCGTCCACTGATATCAGTGTACTCTGAAAAGGGGGAGTCATCTGGCAAAAATGTCACTTTGCCTGCTGTGTTCAAGGCTCCCATTCGACCAGATATTGTGAATTTTGTTCATACCAACTTGCGCAAAAACAACAGACAGCCCTATGCCGTCAGTGAATTAGCAGGTACGGATTTTAATACTGTGTGGGTTGGTGTTACAAGAACTCCTTAACAGCAGTGATGAAATTCCACTCTATTGGTCCGTGTTTCTGAACCACATGATTTTCCCTGATGTTCTGATGCTGTTGACTACAATACATGGTAGTTACAGATAGCTATAGTTGTGTGGCTTAACCTTGTATTTCTCCCCCCCAATTTCAGGTCACCAAACCAGTGCTGAGTCTTGGGGTACTGGCAGAGCTGTGGCTCGAATTCCCAGAGTTAGAGGTGGTGGGACTCACCGTTCTGGCCAGGGTGCTTTTGGAAATGTATCCTTTGTTTCACTATGTAGACTGGTCAACTCTTGTGGAATTCAGGCGACCTAGGTTTAATCATGTTCGTAGTTAGAAAATATTTCATGTCCAAAATGCTAACAGTGTCCAGGATAAACATTACTCTAGGTAGACTTGAAATCTGGAAATTTTTTCTTCGATAAAGACAACAGGGGCTTGACATTACAAAGGCTCTGCTTGCAATGATGTCGTAATTTGCGTCCTACTCTGTTCTCAGCGACAGTTGCCTGCTGTCACTAAGCTGGTTCAGAAGGGTGACGAAAATTCTCACTGAGCAAGACATAATCTTATTCCTAAAATTTGAGAGAATGTGATTCTTAACTGGGAAAATAGATGTGTCGGGGGGGACGCATGTTTGCCCCAACCAAAACCTGGCGCCGTTGGCATCGCAGAGTGAACACAACACAGAAGCGGTACGCCATCTGCTCCGCCCTGGCTGCCTCGGCCTTACCGGCACTCGTCATGTCTAAAGGTTTGTAGTATTTTGTAATACAGGAGTGGTACAAAATGCTCTTCTTTTCCTTCACTTGGATCTTTTCATTCATATTAATAGAGCCTCTGTAAATCCTGTACATCTCAGAGTGCCTGACTAAATTTCCCTCTACTAAATAACTAGTTCAGATTACCTAATAAGTCAGTTATCAGTGAGTGCTAAGTAACCAGGGAACTAATTTGAATACAGTGACAATGTATTGTTAGGATACCTTCTGCTGCCTACTCTGTTTAAAATGATGAGATTCCACTTCATTGGTCCGTGTTGCTGAAACACATGATATTTGTGGAGATTCTGATTTGACAAATTGTAAGTCCTTTTGTTTTGTGGGTTATTTAAAATGTTACCCAGTTTTTCAAAGGGCTCAGGGTAACCAGGTCAGTGTTACTTGGCATTATCAGGTCATCGTATTGAGGAAGTTCCTGAACTTCCTTTGGTGGTTGAAGATAAAGTTGAAGGCTACAAGAAGACCAAAGAGGCTGTTTTGCTCCTTAAGAAACTTAAGGCTTGGAATGATATAAAAAAGGTAGGTTTAATGAACATGTTTATAGTTTGGTGGCCCTTTAACATAAACTTGTTATGAGAGTCTTAAGTTTCAAGATTACTGAAGGACAGTATAACAACCTCAGAGAATAGGAGAGCAAGGACTCTGGAACCACATTACTTGGGTTTGAATTCTGACTGCCATTTATGGCTGTTTGTTAATGTTAGTAAGTTAGTTGTGCCTCAGTTTCATCCTCTGTAAAATGAGTTTTTTAACTGAAGACCAGTTGCAGGGATCATTTCTTAATCAGAATACCAGACTGTCTTGCTTTGTAGGTTTATGCCTCTCAGCGAATGAGAGCTGGCAAGGGCAAAATGAGAAACCGTCGTCGTATCCAGCGCAGGGGTCCATGTATTATCTACAACGAGGACAATGGGATCATCAAGGCCTTCAGAAACATCCCTGGTAATTCTTGAACTGAGTCTGTATTTTGATTACCCATAAAATACAGGCTTACTCGGCTTTTGTTATGATGAGATTCCACTTATGGTCCGTGTTGCTGAAACACATGATTTTGTGGAACTTCTGATTCTTGGCTGAAGGAGTTCACCATTGATGGTTGCAACTTCATAATTAGTATTTAGATAGTTTTCAGGTACCTTATGTAAGCACGTAAGCCAGAAAGATGGTTTGTGTCTCTTCAGTTGAAATACAGGTTCCCTAATACTATTTTCTTTTTAAAAGGAATTACTTTGCTTAATGTAAGCAAACTGAACATTCTGAAACTTGCTCCTGGTGGGCATGTAGGACGTTTCTGCATTTGGACTGAAAGTGCTTTCCGCAAGCTAGATGATCTGTACGGCACTTGGCGTAAAGCTGCCTCCCTCAAGAGTAACTACAAGTGAGTGTGCGTCGTGTCTGTATACTGAACGCAGATGTTTATACTGTGGGTATTTTACATTCAGAATTGGTTTACATGTTTTCTAAATAATGGATTGTATTTTACTGACATACCCTTACAAACAGATGAACTAACGCTGAAACAGTGAGATGAGATGCTGAAAAGTGATAATGTTGAAATTCTGATTATATTTTTGAGGCATTTGAATGGTTAAAATTCTGTTGAGGTTCATGTTCTTCAGTCAGTTATATGAAACTTGTGAGAGTACCTTTTGTTAACATCTTTTTCAGCCTTCCCATGCACAAGATGCTCAATACAGACCTTAGCAGAATCTTGAAAAGCCCAGAGATCCAAAGAGCCCTACGAGCACCACGGTACAGTTGTGATATTTACAGTAATTCTTGCCCCAACCGCATACTATTATTTATCTCAAAAATGTGAATAATGTAAATAAAATACTTATAGAGTATCTACCTTTTTTTATAGCAAGAAGATTCATCGCAGAGTCCTGAAGAAGAATCCACTGAAAAATCTGAGAATTATGTTGAAACTAAACCCATATGCAAAGACCATGCGCCGGAACACCATCCTTCGCCAGGCCAGGAATGTAAGCAGTAATTTTTGGTTTTGCTGACATATTAAGTTTTTTGGAAGATTTGGTTCTTAGATTTTCTTCCTCATTTGTTGCAGCACAAACTCCGTTTGGATAAGGCAGCAGCAGCACTAGAAGCCAAATCAGGAGAGAAGAAGGTTCCAGGCAAGAAGAAGCCTGTAGTAGTGAAGAAGGGAAAGAAGGCAGCTGCTGTTAAGAAGCAGAAGAAGCCTTTGGTGGGAAAAAAGGCTGCAGCAACCAAGAAACCAGCAACTGAGAAGAAGCCTCCTGAAAAGAAACACACCACAGAAGAAAAGAAGCCTGCTGCCTAATTTAAATTTGTTTATTCCATAAAGGTCAAATCATGTTGGACAGCTAATTTTGAATAAAGACCTGTTCAAAGAAGCAGTGAGAAATGTGACTTGTTTTGGATGTGTTGTGTCTAAAATTTTTTGATGACGCTTTGTTCTGCATACACACTTTGAGTGAAAAAACTGATGCTCCATGAATCCTGATAAAAAGTTGAGTTTGCAGATTGCAGTGTCTTAAACGGATGGTTAAAACACTTGTCTCAAACATACAGAAGCTTAATTATTTAGCCTCCCTCTGGTGGTGGGGGACTTGAAAAATGGGAAAAATTCTGTGGTTAGACATTTTCAGTAACCACAAGAGGGCAGAATCAACATACTTTGGGTGAAGGCAGTAAGAAGTTGATAGTCACTTGAAGTGCTCTTGGAGCAACCTTCCAGGATAGAATCCCAAGGAAATACTTGGTCACCCACTCTAGTCTTTTGTTGGTATGAAGGTGCCAGCAGCATTTTTCAGAACCACTTCGGTTATTTTACAGTTCTAGGGGATGAATATGTATAGTCCGAGAGTGGTGTAGAGAAATGCACCCAAAAGATGTTTCTTATGAGGCTTTTCTTAATCTGCCATTGCATGTCTTTAAAAAAAGACCTTATGAGTTGGCTTATCCTTCCCTAGTTTTGTGTCATGTCTGGGTCGTTTTGCACCATACCCATTGGCAGTCTTAAAATGGTACGTCCAGGATGATAAATCCTTTTGCAGGTTGAGATGTCGGTTCCTTTGGAATACAGGCATCCATCTCCCAGTCCAAATTGACAGCAGCACTTAACCATCAATGCTCTGGATTTGGCGAAGGCCTGGGAAATACCTCTCGTGACCGGGAATCCTTGTCTGCAAAAAAGTACAGTTGGGTTCTTGTCCCGGTCTGCTAGATACCGGTGATTTTAGCCACTTGCTGCAACACCACGTTGGCGGTGCGATGCAGCGAGCACTTTAATTGTATTTGAAACTATGGCCGTTTTTATCTCCAGGCTCTATGGCTCCAACGCTATGTGCCTTAAGAATCCTGACCGCTATTAAGAGCTAGGGCTTTGCGTCCTGGCAGAGGTCGTCCGCTGCGGAACGCCAGCACGCTCGCGGCCGCGGGCGGGAAGAGCCTCGCCCCACGTGCCAGCCCCGCCCGGGCCTCCCTTCCGTTTCCGGGAATATGGAGGCCGTGCCGTCATTACCGAGCGCCGAGGCCACTGGCCGCGCTGAGAGCGGCGGGTGCGAGGAAGCGTGATGCTGAGCCGGCTTCAGGAGCTGCGCAAGGAGGAGGAGACGCTGCTCCGGTTGAAGGCCGCACTACATGACCAGCTGAACAGGCTCAAGGTGACCCCGCCATCCCCCCACGCCCCTCCACCCCGCCGCTCCCCCTAGCCCGGGCCGCCTGCCTCTACCCGAACCCCAGGCGTCTGCGGCGCCCACCTGCTGCAGGGTATCCCTTCCTCTCCCGGCCGTGCTGGCACTGACCTGGTGGTTTACAACCACAGCGGGAGCTTGTTTGAGATTAGGGGCCCGCCCCTCTCGGCATCTTGATCCTGCACATCTGGGCTGAGGCCCAGCAGCTGTACGCTTGGTGAATACACTCCCGCAGCCCAGTGTATGCGGGGGGCCCACACACGCCTCACGTTGCGAAAGAGCGATTTCCCGAAGGCTCGCCCAGGACCTTCCCAGCCCACCGATCGTTTCCAAGCTCCTCCGGCATTTGTCATCCACTTTTTACTAGCTTGTATTGGTGCTTGCAACAGCTTTAGAAGAGGCCCACAAATCCTCCCATTCTGCGAAGGCAGAGAGGTCCTGAGGAGACAAGTCGCAAAGTGGACTTCACGTTCGCTTTTCTTTCTGGAGCTGTTTACTGACACGGCTTTGACGGGAGTTGAGATCTAGGCCCACCAGGGGCATCTCCAAGACCTGTACATAATTCGCCCCCTTTAGCCCTAGTGAAAGGAGTCTGACAAGTGCTACTCAGCACCCTTTTCCAGGATCTCTAAGTCCAAGTAAGATGAGGGTTATGGCAGCCCTGTGTAAACTGAAGAGCCTTGTATAACTGTGATGTATCAAAATAAGACACTTACCCTCAGGATAGTCCTAATGGCCTACACTTATGTCCTGTACAAGTACCTAATGTGTGTGTGTTGATGACTTCCAAAGCCTAGATTCCTTTATGCTCCAGGAAACAGATTACACTGTTTTCACTTCCTCTCATGCTGACAAAAGACTTTTTACAGTATGCTCAGTAAGTGTTACTCCCATCGGTAACCCAGTGAAATACTTGGAAAATGTCCTCAACTCTTCTTTTCTAGGTTGAAGAATTGGCCCTCCAATCAATGATTAGTTCTAGAAGAGGAGATGAGATGCAATCTTCTCAGCCGCTCCCTGAACAGTCACATGATGTAAGCTTAATTGTGTGGTTAAGGAGGGAGTGCAAAGTTCCTTTTGCTCATGCTGTGTGGAGGTCAAGAATTGTTGTGAATCACATCGAGCCCAAAGGACTGTGGGAAGTACTGATAAGAATGTTCTTTGTCCGTACTACTACTACTGTTTTTAAACAGGGAACAGCCCACCTTTCTACCAGCTGATGATACATTCTTGATTAGGTACTGTTGTATTGCTTCCGCTGTCCTAGTCTTCCATCTCTCTAGTTACTCCAGTGAACCAGGGAGAGTGTGGAGATCTTTGCAGGAAAACATCAAAACTTACCCTGCTCTGTGAATAGGTGAGCTTGGAATTCGAAAATAGAGTGTAACTTCAGCTACAAAACATGCTAAAAAATGAGGTCTAGTCCTCATCATTTCCTCCTCTTACCAGATGCTTTCAGGTACATCAGTAAAATTGTCCTCTTTCTAAACATACTGTAGTTGAGCAGTACTTCTCCCATATGTGTTAAGCTATTTAAAACCACTTGAAAGCACATCTAAGCCAGCATAACTGTTATGTAAGAACCATGTCCGTAAATCAGGTAACTTTCTATCAAATCTAGGGCGTTTACTATCCCATTTTGGCAGGGTAGAATTTAGAGAAATATGAAAGTGGCCGTACCTTTTGGTGATAAATATTGGAGATGATTATGCAATTGAGATTTGATTTTAAAACATTTTTGAAGAATTTGCTGTTTTGAGGCTAATGTCTCTCCTACTAATCCATAATGTACTTTGCTAAAGCAGATGTTGGTGCATGTAGACAATGAAGCATCCATCAACCAAACTGCACTGGAGTTGACCACAAGAAGCTGTGTGTCAGAGGAGGAGGAGGAGGAGGAGGAGGAAGAATCAGATTCCTGAAGAAGGAAGAGAGCCAGGGTTAGTTACACGAATTAAATTTCTAAGTCTTGGGAACTTTCTGTCGAGAGTTTTTCTTGCCGTGGGCCCTATGGCCTGATTTAAAAAAGAGCAAGAACTTTAGGAGGATGTATAGTGCTGAAAATGTTTCCATCGATGACTCAGATTTCATACTGCTTTTACAAAAATAGTGTCCTACAGAAGAGCAAAGATGCAGTGTCTCAGCGTTGAGTAGTATGAGCGGTGCTGTGTCTGTGTTCTGGGCAGATTCAATAATTGTGTTCGAAACAAAAATTTCCTCTGAAATGCTATTGAGATGTCTTGGCATTTGCAAAAAGGGCAGAGTTTAATTATAAGCCAGTCTTTCTAATCAACAGTGTCTCTTTTCAGAAAACCAAGGAAAGGCTGTTGGCAAGCCATTGAACCCTTCCGAGTAAAGCAAGGCCACCGTCAAAGATGTTAAGGAAGTGTGCACAGAGGGTCGAGAACTTCAAGAAAATGAGCTGTTGCCACTTCTCGGTGACATCACAGCACACTGCCTACTATATAAACTGCTTTGTGTGGCTGTCATCACATCTAGCTTGAGACATCACTATGGTAAAATGTGCTTAGAAATAAATTACAGATAAATAGCCATCATGCACTTGCTGGTTTCCATATAGCAGAGAAAATATATCCATTCCTCCTCTGGGTCAAATAGGACAGCAGGATGGTTTAAGACACCTTCCTGGACTTAACGAAATGTGCCATTAAAGGAGGAGTCACTATACTTGGGAGATTGGATTTTTTTTTAATAGAGATGACAGTTCTTTTCCACCTGATACACAGTTAAGTAGTTTCTTAATTTTATGAAAGTAATTTGCTCTGCCAGGCAAGAGGCCAACCAAAAACATAAAGAACCCCCTCAAGAACTCCTTATGTAACTGTTTCAGAAGAGAACATAGATTTATTTGTTAATCAGCATTTCATTAAAGTCATTTTGAGCTACTTTCACAGGAAATAGGTGGAAATTTAAATGAACATGTTTCTTGGAAAACAGTATGAAAATAGTTTTGCAACAAAAAGCATCAAAATTAAAATTACATTTTGGGAGTTAATTTAAAACATGAGTATGGGTTTTTGAGAGCTAGAAGAGCTGGCTGTGAATTCTAGATCTACTGCTAAGCGGTAAGAGGCCTTCCTGCCTCTTTCCAGCTCTCACTTTCCCATCTGTAAAATGAGGGAGTTTATATTTGCTTTAGCAATTGCCCAGGTTGCTGTGAGTTATCATTAAAAAATCCAACTACTGGTGTCTCAGTAAGAGGAAGTTTGAGGAAGGAATTTGGCATTAGGAACTCCAAACACAGCAAGACTGGTACAGGGAACATCATTCTTGAGAACAAGATCATTCTTGGTAAAAATCTTTTGGCTCAAAAAGCAACACGTTTGGATGTGAACAGGGAATATAAAGCCCCCTTCAGAAGACACTGAGCACGAAAGCATTCAGATCCAGGTTTTAGACTCCAGGTTACATTATTCCTTCCTCCTGAGATGCAATTTGCACATTGTAATGAGATACTCTCAATAGTGGTGGCATTGTCCTCTATTAGCAAAAGACACAGGGTGTGAGGAGAGTGGGGGTCTGAATGTTTGTATGCAAAAACTGAAGACGATTTACTACTGACCTTGAACAAATGTTAGTCTCACATCAAGACAAAAATGATAGACTAGCTCATTATGTAGTGTTATGTACAACACTAACTAGTTTTTTAAATCCTGGCTGGGCTCCAAGCTCTGGTAGATCTGTAGCAGAACTACCTGCTCAGGAGAGTCACCCAAGTTCTGTTTTTAATTTGAAAATGAAATAAGCTGTTCATTTTTAAATATGTTTTTATTTTGGTTTCTATATCCTGCCCCTTGAAGAAGGAAATGAGGGAAGAGGTGCTGACCATATAGCCTTAAATGTACCTCAAGTGCCAACAGTCACTTTTCAAAGAAAGAGCAGGCACCAGTGGCAAGTTGGGACATGGCTTTGTTTTCGGGGACTTCACTGCCACCTCAGGCATGACAAAGCCAGTGCCAGGCACATTGCTCCTCTCCAGGAAGGTGAAACAGGAAACTTGTTCCGTGGAGCAGAGCAGCAGGAGGCTGTTCCGGGTGGAGGTGCCACCGCGAGCCAAGCGCTGTGGGCATACCACCACACCCACCGCTGCCCACTGCTTGTCCCTTGCATGGGGAGAGGGAAGGAATGGGTGGGACTTATTCACAGGTCCGTAGGAAAGGTGGTTGAAGAGTTGCAGGTAGGGGTATTTGGTGAAAAGAGTGAGACAAAATCCAAAGACTGGAATTGCAGGAAATCCGAGACCAAAGCAGTGAACTTGTCCTCGGTGTGGTATTTCCACCTTTCAGCCTCCTTTCTGTCTTTATCTTTCCCCTCATGAAACTGCGTGGCTAAATCATTTGCTTTCTTGTGTACTTAGAACCATTGAAGATCCTACCACAAAAGTTGAAATGTCTTTCATCCTTTTAACTTGATAATATATTTATTAGAATAAGAGTTTAGATTTGTTAAACATCTGGATTAAAATGGTTGAAAGGATTTTCATACAATTTTTAGGCACTATACACACTGTTGTTTACAATAGCATTGGTACTTGAATTTGGGGAAAGAGAAATCTCCTCCATTTTAATGCCTTGACCCATTTTTAACATTCAAAATGATTCCACCATTTTAGAAACACTTAAATCCAAACTTAATGAGAGACGTGTACCACTAAATATCCCACATGGTATATATTTAAAAATAAATAGAGAAATACAACCAGAAGTCTAGAGATCACCACAGCAGACAGACTGGTGAGGCCCCAGCTATTTTGGTAGTAGAGGCTCTGGCTAGATTTTGATGGAAATTGCTGAATTCAACACCAAAAGCAAAAATATATTAATAAAACAACATGATACACACGTTCTGATGCTTGCTTTCATAGCAGCAAAGCATGCTTCACATGCACTGCCTGTAAAGGATCTTACGAGGCTCCCTCCTACTCGACTAGAAAGAAGTGCGCCCCGCGAGAATGAAGTACCACCAAGTGTCCGAGTGCAGGCAGCCAGCCAGCCAGGGTGAGGGAAGAGCAGTGCGATTTTCATTTAAGAATGACTACCCACAGTCACCGAAGTTTCACTGTAATTCAACACTGTGTGTTTTGATCATAGACATACATAAAAATAGCCCCAAGCACAAAGCCAATCCACTTAGGGGAGTAACAGTAGTAATAAGAATAAAGACAATAATATTAAAAATGACATGAGTAGAATTTTGGCACATGCTGTGTTCTTCATCCTTTGTCACAGGTGAAATACACGTCTGAGCAGAGGCAGGCATGGGAAAGAGGCCTGAAGGCTACATGGCACACCACTGGGCAGGGGACTTGCTGTTTACTGCCTCCCAGGTGCTTAGATGCCAGCTGCGTGGGTTGGTGTGCTGGGCTGGTTAAGGCCAATGGTGGAGCAGAGCCAGCCTGCAAAATCCACTTCCTCAGCATCAGATCTCTTGATAAAAGCATGAACCTGCATGGGAAGAAACAGAGGAAGTGTTTAAAAACCACCAAGAAGGAAGATTCAAGAGCCCTGCATCTGGAGCTTGTGCCACAGCGGGGCCCAGGGAAGCAGGGCCAGCTGCAGGCCGAGAGCCCCACTCTGCTGGCTTCACCTGCAGTGAGGCCTTGGGCATCCGCTCACCTCCCTGAGCCCTCGCACCACAAACCGGGAGAGCAGCCTGCCTTGGGTGCCTCGCGGGTGTCGGAACAAAGGAACTGATGGGCTTGAAGGTGTGCGTTGCTCTGTACAGGCTCCACGAGGCGTGTAAGTTCAGTTATTTACAGCATTACTTCCTTGCTCCTCCCCTAGCACTGCCACCAAACAAGAGGCGGCAGGTGGTGAGCAGCTTGGTGAGTGGAAGGTGAGTCTCCTATACTAGAAAGGCCCTGCCTCCACAAAGGGGTAGGCTCGCCCATTCTTTCCCTGGACACCCTCAGGCTGCAGGGTCAGGGTCACCCCAGCTTTTCCTCTAAACGGATGGGAGGAGAGAAGAGACTTATATTTTGTATCCTGCAGTCCCAGGGTCAGCTGCACTGCAGTGGTCAAGGCCGAGCGGGGAATGGACTCAGGAAGTCCTAGATGGATCAACTGACAGAGGAGAGATGAACAGACGGGTAGTGTAGGAATTGCAAATAAATGGACTTACCATGAGCTGCTTTAGATCTGCTCTCTCTGCAGGGTTTTTTATTAAGCTTAAAGGAATAAAGATAATGTGAGAACTATTGCCTGGTGCTGGTTCTAATTCAAATAAAGTTTGCATGCCTGTCCTCCCCACACCCTACAGGCTTGGAGGAGTGCCTGAGCCTTATTCCCTTAAGGTTCTTAGCATAATGTCCTGCCCACAGTAGGTTAAAAAATGCTTGCTGAACTAAACTAAAGTCAGAAGGCAATACACCAATCCCTGAAGAGCAAGTGCCGAAAGCGGCAGCTCTGTTACCCGCTGTTGTCGTCAGTCAGGTCACGGTACTCTCGCTCTGGGAGAAGGGAAAGAGCCATGCTCCCCACGATGGGATGGGGAACCTGACAAAACCAGGGTACCCTTCCAGAGAACAAGAAGCCAACTTACCACTTATTAACAAAATCTTGAAATTCCAGACTGAATACTCCGCTGGGCAGTTTTGGAGGAGGCTGCAAATACACATTGGGATGTAAGAGATGCCTGGCTTGCTGCTCCAGCCATCTCGTAGGTCCCCTCCCAACCCCCACCTCTGGGCAGTGCTGCCCTCATCCTGTCAAGGCAAGAAGGGGTGGGAGGCCAGCGGCCGCCTGCCGGGTCACCCTGATGGAACCACTGGCCTCATAAACCAGTTAAAACTGGGGCCAAGTCTGTTTTACCACTCACTTCTCTGGTGGCTAAACAAATTACTGTTCCTCTCTGAGCCTCAGTTTACCCTTCTGTGAAATGGGAAGGACCTAATGATCTCTGGGACTCGTTCCAGCTCTGACACCAGAACTGCAGACCTTGGAGTGTGGCATGGAAACGCCCAGCAAATCCTAGGAACAACGGGGATATGCAAACCACCACCAGCATAGGCCAGCCTGGATGGCACCTATGGAAGTCAGAGAACACTAACTAGCTAAATAGTAATAAGATTTATATCCCTTTTCTGTGCCCTGAAGGAACAGAGAAGGTTAATAAAACATTAACTAGCAGAGAGCTGTGTCTGGAAGCATGTTACCTGTACACTCTCTCCAGGATCAAGACTGTCTGCAGACAGCAGAGCAAGAACACTGGCAATAGCTCATTTCCCCAGGGTGCCCGGTGGGGACCATGCAGGGCTGTACAGGACAAGGCCCTGGACCACCCGGCGCATGTGCTCCGTGCAGCTCAAAAGAAACACGACCCACCCTCACATGACCTGCACTGGAGCTGTGCACAGCTTCTTTGTGAGCTGATCCCCAGATACCGTGGGACGTCACTGCTCTGATGTGCAGCCCAAACCAACAGGTGAGTTGAGACTACATACTAAACACTGACACTACCAAAAGAGCCAGCCCAGCCCTCCTTCCCCTGATGCTATCAGAACAGCAGGTGAACAAGGCGGCCGAGGGTGCTGAACTCGTCTTGGCCCACAGCTCCTCCAGCCCTGCCCGACCCTCCTCTGAGAAACCTTGGTGCTAAGTCCATAGCTTCCTGCTCCCTGAAAACCTAAGTTTGAGAATTGCTTATCAGTCTTCTCCTTGACTCTTTTTTCTTTTAAACATACCGGGATACACATTATGCAGACAATGTATGTTTTTCGTATTAAAGTCAGCCAATTACGATAACCAAGAAGAAACCTTTAATCAGCTGTACTCCGTCATTCAGATAACCAGTGCATCATACTACTTTCCAGACTTTATATGCACATACATGCATAGATTTTTTTAAAGAGCGGATCATACTATGCATACTATTTTATAATCTTTTTCATAACATTTACAGTGAATATTTTCCATATCTGTTTCCACAGTGTCATTTCTTATACTCATTGCTTTTTAATGGCACTTAAAAGAGAAACTCCTATATTGCAGTTATATATGCATTTGCCTTGCCTCCCCTTTACAATCTAACAGTCTTCAGGACAAGGTCTTTTGTTTTTCCATCTCTGGCTTCCCACCTCACTCCTGCCACCATCCCACAGTGCTGAGCACAGTAAGTGCACAAGAAAAGCTTGATGAACAAAGGAATAGGAATGAGCACGGTGGAGGCCCCTGAATCTGAGGAGGAGGGGCTCCTACGTGAAGGTGTTCCTAGGGAAGGGACTCCTACAGCCTCTACACTGGCCACTCAGTTCCAAGAGCATGACGCACAAACCAGGGCACGTGAATCCTGGGCCCAAGAAGCCCGTGTTGTAGGTTTCCCAGTCAAATTCATGTCTTTTTTCTTGAGTAAATAAATCCTAAGGATAAAGAAGCCATGCAATACTTACTTCATTGACTATATAATCCAACAACTCAAAAATTGCCATGGGAGGTCGGCTGTCCATTCCATAAGCTACAGATTGAATAAAAAGAAAAAAGAAAACAATTCTCAGAAAAACAGGAGGTTATTTGCCAGTTAAGAGACTAGGGGTCAGGCATGGATCCTGGGGACCGGAACAGGGTGCTGGACAGCTGAGCCACAGGTAAGGCCTGCACAGGGGACCAGCAAAGGCCAGAGCGAAAGGCTCGCCACAGTAGGAGTCTGGGCTCCGCCACAGCTGAGGTTTGTGATCTTGGGCAAATAAGTTGATTGCTGAGCCCAGTTTTAAGCTTTATAAAGTAGAGACAGATAATTTTGTCTGCTCTTCCCTATACTGAGAAGAGCAAATAAGATAATAACTAAAGGACTCAATTTTAATTCTCCTTGAGCTTAGGTTTCTTCTTTTTATGCCCCAAAGTCCCAGGCCAGCCTCAGAGGCCACTGCCACCAGCCTGTCCAGTGACCCACCATCAGCTATCTCTGCCCCATCCGTCTCTCCCTTCAAAGATGCCTCCCCAGTGTGGACCTAGTGGAGGTAGAGACCAGGGCTCCCGGGTCAGACAGGAACACGCCGGCATGAACCACACAGTAATGATGGCTGGGCCAGGATCTCCCAAGCACCTGGTTTCCCTCACAGTATTCATGCTGCACAGCACTCCCCACCTAGAAGTCACACTTGGCCACTTACAAGTATATGTGGCCTTGGCTAGTCAAGCTCTGTGTGCCTCAGTTTCCTCATATCTGAAATGGAGATTATAAGAGTGCCCACACATAACTGCTATTAAAATTAGATCATAACAGGCAAATCCATGGAGACAAAGTTGAGCAGGAGGCAGGGGTTGGGGGAGTTCGGAATGACTGCTAATGGAGGTGGAGTTTCTTTTTGAGGTGATAGGAATGTTCTGGAATTACATAGTGATGGCTACACAACATGGAGGAATACACTAAAAACCACTGAATTGTACACTTTGATATGTGCAGTCTTTGTTACATGAATTTTACCTCAATAAAAAACTACCTTAAAAAAAAGAAAAGGCCATGATTTTTAAAAATTAGATAATGCTTATAAAGTGCAGTGCTGGGAACACAGTAGGCAGTCAACAAAGGGAAGGAAGTTATTGGTAATAATTTCCAGCACCCCACCAGAGATCCCTGCTCTTCCTCCCAACCTGGGAAACCAAGTCTTGACAGAGTACAGAGAATCCCTCTAGAAACCCCCAGCAGTGAGGACCACCCTCCCCTCCACAGTCCAAGATGGGGCCAAAGCAGGCCACTCACAGCTGAGGGGCCTTCCAGGGGTCCTTGGCCTGGGTGGTGTCTCAGCCGCATCTCCTTCCACCTGGCACCCAAACATGAGCTCCAGCTCCTTGGCATCTGGAGGAGGAATGGGATACCTCCCAACTGCCATCTCAACCAGAGAGAGCCCCATGCTCCAGATGTCTGACTGCACCGAGTAGTGAGTCCCCTGGAGTCTTTCTGGCTATAGGGAAGACAGACACAGTCATGACCACCTGTGAGCTGATCTGGGCCCGTGCAGAAGAGGGGTGAGCAAGTCCCCACGGACGCCCAGGGGGAGGCCTCACTCGCAGTGCAGGAGAGTGGGCTGCCCTGCTCGCCCCTGACCCTGGGTCGGCTGA